CCTCGGGGCTAGGAATAGCCAAGGAGAGCGTGTGTTCTCCTCTGATCCTTCATGGGGAAAGTCCTTCCAGAGCAAATTCCTCCACCCTGGCCTCTCTCCACCCCCTGCCCCTGGTGAGCGCTGAGAATGGGTGAGAAATCCACATCATTCCGGGGCCCAGGAAGCAAGCTCATTTAGTTCTCACACTAAGCCATGTCTTTCTATTTAGCATTATCAGTAACAAAGGTGACATGTTGGCTTCAGGCTTTCTCTTCTGTTTTGTTTCTTAACTTGTCGAGAACCTGGATAGGGAAGAGAAATGTTACTGACTGAGGGACAGCCTCCGAGGCCTCAGTGGTGCTGTGATTATGATTGGAGTATGTATACTCTATAGGTCTATGGGCAGACACATAGGCTTATATACACATATACACACGTACAGACATGGCACTGTGAGGGTCCTGGCTGCTCGTACCCTTCACCATGCTGCCTCCCAGTCCTCAGCCTTGAGTTTGCGTGTACCTAGGTGGGGATGTAAGTCTTATAATCAAGCAAAGGAAACAGAAATGTTCTTAACCCAAATAAAAGCAGGCATTGAAAATGTGGAGCAGCACTTCCTATCACGTTGCAAAACTGCTTGTGGTCTTTTGGCACATCCTTTTCCTTTTCAGAGTCTTTCTAGCCATCATCTGCTCTGATCCCACTCTAGCCTCTGTTCTCATGTGGCACGACCCGTACTTTCTTAAGCTAAGGGCCTACGTTTCCCAGGAGAAAATGGGTTTGATTTCAAAGGACTCTTTAAGCTGAACCCTAGGTTTCAGAGTTTCATGAGTTTATTTACCAAAAGGGTGCTGAGCACCCACTGTGTGGAGAGCGCTGCGCTGGGCGCTGGAGAAACAATGGGACACGGAGCTGCATGCCTCTCCTCAGGGAGCTGCCATCTGGGAGGGAAATACGAAGCAAAAAGAGGGAAGTGAGTGCCCTGATTATGCTGGGGCCCAGGGCCCAGGAAGGCTTTAGGTGCTGGGGTCCTTCGTAAGAGGCTGAGAAACAAACTCAACAAGTGGTCCCCTCATTTCTTCTGGCAAGGTTCTTATTTCATAGTGTTATTTTTTCCTGGTAGAGCTCAAGGTCTGTTGTGTTGTGAAGACAGCTTGAGGGGAACCACCCACCTCTAAGTGTATTTTCCATCTGTCAAACGTGAGTGGCAGAGTGGCAGGTTGGGGAAGCCCATCTTCCTTAGGAGCCACAGCTAGAAGCTCACCCACTCGCTCTCTTTAATTCTCTTTGCTTTTCCTCCCTCCTATGTGCTGCAGCCAAGATGAGTAGGAATTTAGTCCAATGGAAGGAATTTTATTTCTCTCTAGCAGTTTGGCAAGATACACTTGAGAGGAAAGCCACATCAGAAAAGGAGGCTGCTGCCACCACTGGGTCTCTGCAGTGGGTATGAGTCATTCCCGTGTTTCCATGAGGCACCTATAGCAAGATTAGGGGCAGTTAATATTTTCCATTTACAAAGGTATCTGTGATCATTTTATGGTAATGTGTAAGAGTCCCCATGACACAACATTACCCATGTCACCTCATGTTGACAAATCAATTCTGGACCTAAAGTAAACTTTGGTTTAATCACTGCTGCAATGATCTAGACCCATTCTTTGACCAGGGGACAATATCTGGGAAAATAAAAGCCATGGAGTCAGATGTCCTGAGCTTAAAACCCTGAGTGATCGCAGACAAGTTATTGTATCAGTTTCCTGTCCTATAAGACAATTTTTTATTGGATGAGATAATGTCTACACCTCATAATGTAATTAAGTCTAAAGGAAGTAATGCATTTAGCACAGGGTTGGGCCATATGGAGACTCAGTAAAAAGTTCACCTCTGTCATTTCTGGGGCCTCCTCAGTCTTGCTGGTGATAGCAAAATAAAAGGGGTGGGCAGATGCACCACTTGGCCTAATGTAAGTTGCCCACCGTGCACCGAATGCACTTTGCCCCCAGGGTGTTGGAATGTTTCCCAATCCAGTAAGGTTTTAGTGAAGTGCATGAAGCCCTCACACAAACCAGGGTACAGAGCTACTGATGTTTCTTCTCATCCTGGAGGGAGCAAGTGGAGGCAGGTCTCCTACTGCCCCCACATACCTCGATGAAGCCTGAAGAACCTGTACTCCAAATACTTTAGGCCAAAGCGCCAACTAGAAGGAGATCCCAAGAGGCATCTTGAGAGGAAGGCTCTGAGGTCAAGTTGTTGGACAGATGGCAAAAGGAAGAGAAAACCAAGAGTGAGGGAGAAAATAGAGAAGGTTTGACCCAACTCTCCCCTCTTCCTGATTCTCCCTCTGTCTCGTCTCCTCGAAACTGGACAGGAGACACTTCCTGGCTGAGTTGGGCTATTTTAGGAAAGTGAATACAGCACACATGTGACCTCTCATTTAGACCCTTAACAACTTTGGGAGAGAAACTTCTCTAGGAAGGGAGACAGACCCAAGAGTACACAGAAGTGCTCACCGGAGCTTCTGCTGTCACCAAAGGAGGAGCAGTCCCTAGTGGGCTGGCGGGCCGCCCTGCCGCGGGATGCTTTTAGCACCTCAGGGTGCTATGGGAGGATGGAACCAGCGCTTAGAATGGAACGCCTCTCCTCCTTAAACTGATTTAGGCCAATTTTCACTGTTAGACTCTTTAATAAAAGCCCTGGGAGTGGGTTGCCATGGTTATGCTGGTTTTAACAGGAAATTAGGGCTAAGTGGCTTCCCTTAGGGCCCTGCAGCTTTTAGCTGCTGCGTTTGGATGTTTAATTTCTCCTCCTGGGAGATGCTGCTCTGCAAAGGGGAAAGGATCATAGACAGGTGTGTCGTGAGAGCCGCTGGGGAGGTGGATGAATTTGATTTGAAAGAATTTATGCTGTATTTATCTATCTTATCCAGATAAGAGGTAGAAAGGGTGGTCGTCCAGTGAAAGGGCTTGGAGTCAATGGCTTCATCTGAACCCCAGCTTTGTCATGTATATCACCTATGTGACCTTAGGCAAACGACTTAACCAACATGTCGCAGAAATGGAGACCCTAACAGTATGCACTTCACAGGACAACAGTATGCATTCATAGGGTAAAATAAGATGATGCATGACCCCTGGGAAGCTCCCAAGGTGTGTTGGTTCACCAGGTCCTTTTGCTCACATTGTCTCAAGGCCTTCCAGCATAAGCCCTGGATGTTGGTGTCAACGCCATCCTAATTTTCAAGAAAAGGGAACTGAAGAAGCTCAAGGTCTTCCTTTGCTGGCCTCTAGGGTTGACGTGTGCCTGCTTCTCTGACTTATCTCCCTTCTCTGCCAAGCCCAGGCCTGCCTCTTACTGTCCTCTCTGCGACGCTCTTGCCTGGCTTTTCATGAGACCAGCTCCTCTCTTCCTTCGCGTTTCAGCTGAGGTCACCTCCTTGGGATTTTTTTTCCAATCATGCTAATCAACCACCCTAGTTACTAGTTAACCTCTACCATTTTATTTATTTTCTTTAAATAACTCATTATAATCTGAAACTATTTTGTTCATTGTCTTTAAACAGCTCATCACCATCTGAAGTTATTGTGTTTATCATCAGGCCCCTCCCAACCAGAACATCAGCTCCTGTGTTTCCTCCTGTATTCTTCTGATTTAACCTAATTCTGGGGACCCTGTAGAGTCTGTGGGTAGAATTTGGGCTCTATGAATTTGGACAGAAAAAAATGACGTCTTTATTTTCACTAACTCCTAACTGAAATTGAGCGTTTCCTTCATCAACAACAAACCACAGTCTTACGAACCGCACTTGAGACTGTCACACACAACCGTTTTACAGATGTCTTGAAATATCATTTACACTGATCACGAATATGAACTTACAGGATTTTTTAGACCCACTGCTAGATCTTGTTATTTAAGGCAATAATAAAGAAACATATATCTTACTATATCACAATTTAAAAATATTTTGGTAACTATTTCAATGCATTTGGCTTCTTTTTAATTAGCTATATTTATTTTATGCATTCAAAAAGCATCAGCCTGGGAGGCAGCTCGACCCGTAGCAGTCCGCTTCTCCATCTTCAAAGCCAGCCACGGTGGGTCGAGTCCCTCTCATGTTTCACATCTCTCCTACCTCTTTTCCATCTTATCTCTCTGGCTAACTCTTCTGCCTTCCTTCCTCTTCCTCTTTTAAGGGCCCATGTGATTATGTTGGACTCACCGGGATAATCCAGGATGATCTCCCTGTAGGGATAATCTCCCCATATTAAAGTCCTTAATTCTGTTTGTAAAGTCTTTTTTGCCATATATCATAGCATAATTCACTGGTCCCAGGGGTTAGAGCATGTCCGTCTTGTCGGGGGGCATTGTTCTGCCTACCGTACCAGTGTTCACCGCAATAGTCTTTTCAACTCTGTTTGTAATGTGCTGGGAAAGAGAGGGGGTACAATACCATCTCCCGTGTCTAACCACAGGCTTGCGTTAAGGCTCCAGTGAAATAACTAAACAATGATACAAAGTGATATTTAAATAAAATTCATCACCCTAAAAAAAAAAGTATTAGCCTGAGAAAGGGGGCCATAGGTTTCACCAGACTGCCAATATAGCTCATGGCACAAAAAAGGCTGTTTATCCCTGTGGCCTAGAACATTGCATAGCATATAGTAGGAGCTTGATACGAATGTTTTTGAATGAACGAGTTAGTTAGATGAAGGGAAGTGGAGAAGGAAACAGTGTCCTGTGCAGAGGAAACGGCACTCAAAGGCTGGGAGCTCTGTTCTAGAAACAGAAAAACCGTGTAGTGTGGTTTGAGCTTCGAGAGCTGGGGGAGTGTTATAAGCTGACGCTGACACAGTAGGCTGGTTGAACTTCATCCTGGGGCAGCGGGAAGCCAACGAGAGCATCATGCAGGGACAGGAATAATTAATTATGTTTGCGTTTTAAAAAATCCCTATGGCTGCCGAAAGGAGAGGAAAATGAAGAAAGCCAGTGTGGACGTCAATTAAGAGGCTACTGTGGGTGGTTTGAAGCAGGCTGGTGGGAGTGGAGGGAGGAAGAAGTGGATGGATTTCAGAGCAATTTCGGAGATGAAATAGACACCACCTGGGGACTGATTAGAAGTCGGGGTTGAGGGAAAACAGGAAGTTCAGAACTGCTGTGGCTTTCCTGCCCCAGTTCCTGGGTGACGGTGGGTGGTTCAGTGAGGGGGGGAACACAGTGGGAAGGAGGAGGGACGTCGAGGGGCAGGCTCCAGGGCACCTGAAACTGCAGGTGAAAGTGTTCTTATTTTGTTCTCACTCTGGCTTTGCTAAAATGCCGTGGAACTCAAATGATGGGTTGAGTCCCAGTTTTATTCCTAGTTCTGCCACTTCTTGGCTACCTCAGGCACCTTTCTCAATTCTCTTCTTTCTCACGCAAACAGCGGAGCTACTAAACTGAGTCCTGCACACCTCAAATGCTGGCGGACACCCTTCTCCCACCCACTTTCTTCAGGTCAAGTGAGAAATATTTGAGCCTATGACTTTGCCAAAGGAGTCTCAAAGGTAATGATTTTACTCTAAGATTTGAATAATAAGTTAGGGTCTCATATTAATTTTATGATGAAATTAATGATGATTATTATTAATAATGAAAGCTAATCTGTATTGATCCCTCATCATAGAGCACTTTGCTGAGCGCTTTGCATCCATTATTCCTTTTAATTCTCTATGATCACACTATGAGGTAGACATTATTACTGTACCCAATTTACAGATAAGGAAACTGGGGGTGTGGATGCCCTGTGGCATAGCGGTTAAGTTCTCTGCACTCTGCTTCAGCAGTCTGGGTTTGCGGGTTCCAATCCTGGGCGCAGATCTACACCACTGGTCAGCTATGCTGTGGTGGCCATCCACATATAAAGTGGAGGAAGATTGACACAGATGTTAGCTCAGGGCTAATCTTCCTCAGGCAAAGAAAAAAAAAGAGGAAAATTGGCAACAGATGTTACCTCAGGGCTAATCTCCCTCAGGAAAAAAAATAAAAGGAAACTGAGGCTTAGGTTTTAAGTAACTTCCCTGAAGTTTCAAAGTTGTAGGTGGTAGAAACTGGAATGCATGCATTCTGACTCTGGAGTTTCTACTCTCCATGACTACATATTCCTGCCTTCTGGGATTAATTGCTGTTTTGGTCCAGGTGTTCATTGGAGTTATCCTTACCCCTACCACCTAGATTGAATGGATCACCCCTCCATTCTGTATTCTGTGCAAAGTCCAGCCATCCCTGAGATTTCTGTAAATTCAGGAGAGCTCACATTGTCATGGTAATCTTTGGCTCAGAGCTCCTGCTTCTGTGGAATGATTTCGGTTTATGGATCATCCAGCATGTGTTCGCTTGCTTGTCTTTGCTTTTTCGGAACAGCTATGCGACCTGGTTACTCTCCTTGATTTCTACCAAGCCTCTTACTCACAGAGGGCTTTACGTTTCTAAGACATTTTGCCAAAAGTCAAAAGATGGAAGGTTTACAACATAGAAAAATGCACATTAAAAACACTGTATAATAGTTATCTCCATGTTCCAAAAGGCTCCCAGGGATTTTGACAGTGTATTAGTTAAGATTTAGGCTAAGCTGCTGAAACAAGATCCTCTCCTCAGCCTCCCCACCCCCCACAAAATACTGCTGTGGCTTTATCTGTCTCTCCCAGTCCAGACGTGAACAGTCCAGGCTGAGTGGCAGCTTTGCTCCCCACTGTCACTCGAACCACACAGCTCCTTCTATTTCGTTACTTTGCCATTCCCTAGGAATGACTGTCCTCATCTCCAAAGTCAAAGCTGGGTCAAACCACACCCACAAATAGCCCATTTGAAGAGGAGAAGAGGAGGGAATGGAAACTACGATTTTCTTCTAAGTAAGTAGTTGCATGCACCACTTCCATTCTCATTCCGTTGGCAAGAATGTAGTCATGTGATCACGCTGCTTCCGAGGAGCCTGGGAAATGTAGTCTCTAACAGGGCGGTCATGTGCCCAGCTGGAACTCTATTACTGTGCAAGGGAGAACAGGGTTTTAGAGACAACTGGAGGTCTCTGCTTCGGCCAACCTGGGTTCCAGCCTCTTGCCCTTTGCTTAATCTTGCTCTTTCTCTTTGTTCTCTCTTTCCACTCTCCTTTAATCTCAGCTCTCTCCCTCTGCCTCCCCCGCCCCATTCTTATTTATTTCTAAAACAGGACAGTTTACCCATCTCTCATTTCCCCCTCACCACTTCTCCCATGTCTCAGGGTCTCACTTTCCATCCCAAATGACCTATAAAGCTGTTGTCTTAAACAAAGATATTTTATATTCAAATCGGGAGTTGGCGCTAGCTGTTAAGATATTTTTTCCTACCCTGGTACATGGTAAAAGTAAAACAAGGCATCATCGTAAGACACTTTTCCCAAACACGCTGAGTTGAGATTCAAAGAAACCCGTTGGTGTGCAATGTAAACATTCCAAATCCTCAGTGACTTAACAAACCCTCGAGAAACACAGGCTGTTCATCGCTTAAAATGAAACAATTTCACACTACGGCAGAGCGTAAAATCTCTACTTCCAAGAAAAAGTTTCAGAAGGGGCAGCTGTTACTCTTGTTACTTGAAAAGTAAAACGATCTTCGTGAGAGAGTTCTACACTCTTCTTCCCCATCTTCCTAGGGGCCACCTACTCTCAGTTCAGCCAAACCGCACAAGTGTTTAAAGTTTCTGCTAGGACGAGTATACGTCATGTCTGATTGCGTTTTATTGGGCAAAGCAAGTTATGCGGACCAGCCCCAAATCAACAGAGCAGGAATCTACCCTCCTCCCATGGGGAGACTACAAGCCACAAGGCAAAGGATGTGGATTTACAATCCTATTAGGGGGAGGGAGTAGATATGGTGCACAATAATCAATTTATCAGTCATGAGAGGTAGGATGGGGAATGGAGATCCAGCCCAGGGCACAGAGAACTCTGAATGTTAGACCATGTCATTGGGGCTTTATTGGAAAGCTACAGCGAATCACTGAAGATTCTGAGCAGGCAGGCATGACCTACTCCACCTCCTGAACTCGCCATTGTGGCAGGAAGTGTGGTGAAGTTAAATTAATAAATTGTTACAAATCAGCATTTTATTCTTGCCTTTATCTGGACAAGGGTGCAACTGGACAATGGGGTAAGCCACTGTATTTGTCATGGTTCTCCAGAGAGACAGAACCAATAGGAGATATATATATCTATCGATATATATAGATACATCAATATCGATATCAATGTATATCGATATAGATATATTGATAGATATATGTACATGTGTGTATATATACACACATGTACATATATATATACACACATAGAGAGAGAGAGATTTTAAGGAATTGGCTCATGCAATTGCGGAGGCTGGCCAGTCCAAGATCTGTGGCAGAGGCTGGTAGGCTGGAGACCCAGGGAAGAGTGGCAGATTGCAGGCAGAGTTCCCTCTTCCTCAGGGAAGTCAGTCTTTTTTCTCTAAGGCCTTCAACTGATTGTATGAGGCCCATCACATTATGGAGTGTAATCTGTTTTACTCAAATCCACTGATTTAAATGTCATTCTTATCTAAAAAATACCTTCACAACAACATCCAGACCAGTGTTTGACCAAATGTCTGGGTACCCCTAGATGTTGGCCTGACCAAGTTGACACATAAAATTAACCACCACAGCCACATACCTCTTTGTTCTTACCTTTAAAATAGGTATTGATGCAGCTGGGCTGTTGGGATTACATGGGTAAATGGCTGTGGAAAAACGGTGGTATGAATGATGGACTGCGGGATTGCTGAAGGGGCTGACATCCCCCTCAGGCAGCCAGGCCTCCCTTTCTGAATCCTCTAGAGGAGAACTGTCTTCTGAGAAGTTGTATTAGTGAAGTGTTCCAGCAACCCACCCTCTCCTTGCGCAGCCTCTGCCCTCAAGCCTTTATGACCTTCCCCCTAGAGTAAGGCACTTCCTTCTTATGCTGCCACTCTCTTCCCCAAAGCACCAATCTGAGCACACACTCCTCAGATGAAACTCCCTCAGTGTTGCCCCACTGCATTCCTACAAAGGCTGAGTACTTTAGGCCACCCAGGACCTGGCTGCTCCAGCAAAGTCACCCTCTTTGTCCTCTGTGCTGCAGGATCTCCAGTCCTACCCCCTGCCCCACTTGGAGCCTTGGGCCTTGTGAGGACATGCCTCATGGGCCACCTCTGGGGAGAGGTATCCACTACAGGCCCTACACAGCCAATCTAATTTTATCTACGGAGTTCCCACATACGACTTTTTCTTTGAAGACCGGATTCTGTGAGTGTTTGGGGGGTTAGCTGTTGAAGAGCATTCATTTGGTAATACCCACCTGCTCATATTTTACTGTGTATACCGTGTCATCTCACACTTCAGTCCCTTTGTTTATGCTGTTCCTGCCTCTGGGAATGCCCATCTCTCCATGCCTGGAATTGACGCTTCCCCTGCTATGGACAGAATGTTTGTGTTTCCTCAAAATTCATATTTTGGAGCCATAATCCCCAATGTGATGGTATTTGGAAGTGGGGCCTTTGGGAAGTAATTAGGTTTAGATGAGGCCATGAGGATGAAGCCCCCATGATGGGATTAGTGCCCTTTTAAGAAGAGGAAGAGACCAGAGCACACTCTCTCTCCACCACGTGAGGATACAGCAAGAAGGCAGAGTGTGCAAGCCAGGAGGAAGGGCTCTCACCAGACGCTGAATCTGCTGGCACCTTCATCTCGGACTTTCCAGTTTCCGGAACTATAAGAAATGTCTATTGTTTAAATCCCCTGTCTTTGGTATTTTGCATGGCAGCTCAAGCTGACTAAGACACTCCTCAAGAATTCAAGAAACTCACTTCCAAGAAGCTAATTTGAACTCCGGGGTGGGCTGACGCGCTTTGTCTGTGTTTCCATTGAAACCTGTGCATTTAGCTTTGTTAGTATTTACTGTATTAAATTGAAAGATTACTTGTTTATGTGTATACCTTTCCCATTAGGCAGTAAACTTTTGAAAATAGGGATTCTTTCTTTATTCTCTAAGCACCTGATGTTGTTGGAGCTCAAAAGAATGTGTGTGTGTGTGTGTGTGTGTGTGAGAGAGAGAGAGAGAGAGGGAGAGAGAGAGAGAGACATGAATGGAACTGGTCCTCTGGAAAAGGCCCCTATCTTCCCCTGTCCACCTTGAGCCCCACACCTCCAAGAAGCCCACCATGACTGCCGCAGTCCTCAGTGATCTCCATCTAACCATCTAATGAAACTCTATGGCATCTTGAATCTGTACCACATGGCTGAGCATGAATTCATTCTCCATCCTCATTTCCTTGAATCTCAAAGTCTCACCCATTAAGTCAATTTAAGAAAATTGAAACACTGAAAAATAAATTTATAAACATTAAAAATGTTATCCATAATTCTATTATCTTTGCAGTAACCACCTCCATTTTTAAGTTTTTTAATAGTTTCTACTGAAATGATGTTTTTAAAAAATTAGTGAAAGAAATACAGGTTCATCATAGGATGTTTTAAAAATATAAAAGAGTAGAAAGGAGAAAATGAAAACCATCCATAATCCTATCACCCAGAGAGAACCACAGTAACTGTTTGGTGAAACTTCTTCCATTCTCTTTTCTATGTGTGTGTGTATATGTATGAATTACTATAACAACTAATATTCATTGAGCATTGTCTATTCTAGTGTTTTTAGTCTAAGCTCATTTACTTTTCAGTCCTATGAAGAAAGTATTATTATTTCTATTTTAGAGACAAAAAACCTGAGACAGAGAGAGGTTAAGTAATTCGTTCAAGACACACAATAGGTGAGACAGTGGGGCGCTGTGTGTATGTGTATGTATGTATTAACGTTTACAGATACCTATTATTTTGTAGCTGCCGAGGGTTGGAAGTTTGACATCCACAAGCGTTGACCACAAGGTTAGCTCCTAGAAAACTCCTGGCAGTTGGCTGCTGGCTTGCAGACAACCTCTACATCGTTACTTCACAGCTTGACATGCTGGTGCTGCCTGGGGATCAAAGCTCTGCTTGTCTTTTGGCTCCAGTCCTGCTTCAAAGAGGACTTCAGGGGTCAATTCATTCTAAAGCTTCCCTGCTTCTGGTGGCTTAGGGAGCTAAAGAATGCTTCTCAGGTTTATTCCAAGGAAAGGCTATCTATGCTTTTCCTTCAGGAGAACACATAAAGTGACTCATATTTCCAGTTCTTATTACAGAGTTATTTTTAAATAAATGGATAAAAATGATTACTGTGGATCATAAAAATATTTGATAAATACCTAACAAAAAGGAGTTATTATGAGGGCTGGCCTGGTGACGTAGTGGTTAAGTTTGTGTGCTCTGCTTCGGCGGCCTGGGGTTCACAGTTTTATATACTGGGCGTGAACCTACACACGGCTCATCAAGTCATGCCATGGTGGAGTCCCCCATACAAAATAGAGGAAGATTGGCACAGGTTTTAGCTCAGGGCCAATCTTCCTCAACCAAAAAATTAAATAAATAATTATTATGTGTCATGAAAAAACTACTAAATTAATAGTTTCTAAGAAACAAAAATCAGTGTAACATAAAGCTCATGGTAGCTACCAGTGACCTGTAGGCAGAGCTTTGTGAAATACATTGCAGTGTTCTAGTTATTTACTGCGCTATACCAAACCACTCCAAATTTAGCAGGATAACACAACAGTCGTGTGTTATTGACTGGGCTCGGGAGGCGCTGCTCACTTGGAGTCTCTCATGAGGTCGCAGTCAGATGGTGGCTGGGGCTCGCATCGTCTCAAAGGCCATCTGTTCTCTGGGACTCCAACTGGACTGAGGACTGGAACTCCTATCCTTGGCCTCTGCATTGTCACTTGGGCGTCCTCATACCACGGCAGCCGAGTTTGGAGAACAAGCATCCTGAGATCCAGGCTGAAACACCTTTTATAACCCAGCCTCGGAAATCACACGGTGTCACTGAGTCCAGCACAAGTTCAAGGTTAAAAGAATGAGACTCCACCTTTGATGTGAGAAGTGTCCAAGAATTCACAGATGTGTTTTAAAACCATCAGATGTAGAAATTCTGTAAACGTCATGGTTCTCATCAAAGAAGGGTCATTCCTCAGTTCACTCCCTGCAGTGGGCTCATTCTCGGCAATGTCCGGGGTCACGCAGAGATCTTCAGCATGCTTGGGCTTGTTCTCAGAGGCCCCCATATTGGGTACATTAGCTTTTATGACAAACAGCTCTATGATGCCATCTATCTCTTGCATTTTGTCACTGCCTTTACGAATCCTTGATGGCTCTGAAAGTGCTTTGTGGGGCTTGCCATGATCCCCTGCATGATGCTCCAAGAGGAAGAGGCTGTATGAGGTGGCAGGATGAGTTTGTCTCTGGCTCGTGGGCTTCCCCTCCCTTGGTCAGCTGCATGGGGTGACCGAGGTAAAATGGAAAGTTCTGCTTAGGTCAACAGTGGGTAGTAACTGGGAAGAGGACAGCCATTAGAGAAGTAAACAGGAAGTGGATTAATTCTTTGGGCAATGATTATGTTGCTAATAATACTCAGCATCTATTGAGCTCTTCCTGTATGCTTGGCACCATGCAAAGCATGTTACCCGCACTACCTCATTTAACTACTCTTCTTACCAGCCTTAAATGATCGGCATTATTTTTATCCTCACTTTACAGATAAGAAAACAGTGGTCAGAGTGGTCAAGTGACTTGCCCAAAGTCACACAGCTACTAGTAGATAGAGCCTGGATTTGAACTGAAGTATGTCTGACTCAAAAGGCAGCATAGCAGTTATGAATTTGACCACTGGGGTCAGACAGCTTGGGCTTGAATCCTCGCTCTGGGTGATCTTTGACAATTAATCCCTTTGTGTTTCAATTTTCTCACTGGCAGATATATAGAGAGAGATAGGTAGGTATCTATCTCTATATATCTTTATCTATCTATCTATCATCTATCTATCTATCTATACCTTAGCATAGCGGTTTTAGCATTAAATGGGACGAAGCATTTGAGGGCTTTAACACTCAACAAATGTTGATCATTCCTCCTCCTGCTCTACTACTTGTGTCTGGTAGGATGGTGGTTTATTCAAAAGGATAATATGCTAAAGATCCAGAAATCTAAGGAAGTACAGAATGAGGAATCTGCCATAGACCCACTGTCAGACCTCAGCCTTCAGCCACTCGCTTTAGTTTCTAGTGACTCTGTGTTCCCATCTGTGAAGTGGGCGCAAGACTGGGATTTTGTGATGAATGGGATTTTGTGACAACGAATGGAGGACCTGAAACACTTCTCACTATGGCAACCGAGTCCTTTCTCTATCTCCAGGTCCAACTAAATTTGCCGACCGCTTACCAAACCAAATACAAATGATACCTGATGGAAGTCGATTCAGGAACTTAGAGACAGAAAGGAGGGTTAGTGACAAGCCCTCTCCACCTCCTTGCTGGGTTCCCAGCACTGTCCGGCTCACAGAGTGGCCAGATGCTGGTCTCTTCTTCTTTTTTCTTTTAAAGATTGGCTACCTGAGCTAACATCTGTTGCCAATCTTCTTTTTTATTTTCTTTCCTTCTTCTTCTCCCCAAAGCCCCCTGGTACATAGTTGTATATTCTGGTTGTGCTATGTGGGACGTTGCCTCAGCGCTACCTGGTGAGTGGTGCCATGTCCGCGCCCAGGATCCGAACCGGCGAAACCCTGGACCGCCAAAGCGGAGCACATGAACTTAACCACTCGGCCACGGGGCTGGCCCCTGGTCTCTTCTTTTGGGTTAAACCTTGCACAGTGGGGGATGATTTCCTGAAATGTGTTCACACTGCAAGAAAGCAGTGCTGTCTGTTGCAGCAGGATTTCATTCCTCGTCTCAATGAGTAACAAGGAGGCTAAGGCTGGAAAGTGCCTGATGCAGACCCCAGCAGCGGGTATGGCCTGTCCCTGACCATCAATGCTGCTCAGCTGTGGATCAGTGCCATCTTCTGAACCCAAAGAGGCTGGGAGTTTTCTACACAGGCCCCACGTTGTCGATGTGTGTGGTTCAGCCCCCTCCCAGGCAGGCAGATTTGTGAATGTGCTGAACTCCAGTGCACTAGGCAGCCTAACCACAGAGCCGTGTTTTGTTTCTCTACCGGATACACCTGTCCCCAAAGCAGGGTTCACTCTGCTGAAGGCTCTGGTGTGTTTTACTTTTGAAAGATTGCACCCTCCAGATAAACCAGAGGGTACACTTGTGTGCACTGAGAACCTGTGAGGCCGAAAAGTGATAAAATGGATTTCCTTTTCTTTGGGGGGCAAGGGACAATTGTATAGAATTGTTTTTCTATCCAACGACATTCTCCACTTTCACATCAGTCCGCATTTCCCAGAGCGTACCACACAAGAGGGACACGCGGGCGCAGCACTGAAGAGCACGAGCCACAGACTGAGAAAGTTAGTCCCTTTTCAGTTTTTTTCAATCTTTCTGGTTTTGTCAAGTAAAAAAAAATAATCTTCATTTGAAGCTCATACTTCTTTAACATCTAACACTTGCTAATCTTCCTTTCAAAACAAAACACAAGGAATGCAGACCTCTGATTTGGAGTCTTCAGTTATATATAGTGTCTACTTAAATGTTGTCTAGATAAAGTTCAATAACAATGTTTTGTTTTAATTGTGATTCTTTTGGGGATTATCTTTAATTTATGGCAAGGGATAGCAGTTTGCTATTTATTTCAGAACTACTGTTTCTTTTTAAAATGACTATATTCAAGTTTTAAAAACTAGTTAATTTAAAGAAAAACGTTAAGTAAAGAGCTGTACAGGTGCTATTCATAAGGAATATAAGTCACGAAGGTCGTATGTGGCGATGTTTGGATGTGGTAGAAATGGGGAAGGCAGGACGCAAACATCTGATGTAGGAGCAACCGCGCTTTGGAGTCAGTCAAACTCGGGTTTGAATCACTGTCTGCCCCTGTTGGATGCATAACCGTGAGCAAGTGATTTAACCCAGTTCCACGTCTCTAACATCAGAAGAAAGGCAGTTCAC